CCATCGCTCTTCGGTTGGAGGCCATCGCTCTTGGGTTGGAGGCTATCGCTCTTGGGTCGGAGGCCATCGCTCTTGGGTTGGAGGCCATCGCTCTTGGGTTGGAGGCCATCACTCTTCTGTGGAGCGGACTTGGGGATGCAACTTTCTCGGGGAACAAATGGGAACGGGGTTGAAGAGGCTCTGTCTGCTTGACACAGGTTACATCAGAAACGTCGTGTCGAAGGGGGTTTCCTTGCCACGGTCACGGCAATTCTACGGGCCAACTTCAGATACTTCCTCGAGGAATCGTGGGCACATTGTTGGGCTCAACCGGCTGTGAGCGTTTTGCACTTGGACGGGGTGGCTAGCCAGCTCTGCGAATTCACAAATGTTCGGCGGGGCCTCTTAGATGTTGGACTTTGCGTTGTGACCCTTAGTGTGTGGCTTGGGTTTTGGGGCTGTCCTGGCCGGCCGTGAACGCCTGAAATCTGTCACCGGTCAGCGGCACATCCGTGTGACTGTCTTTGGGTCGCCAGATGTAGTCCTATACAAACTAAGTTTCATTTGGGCTGAAGTCACCCTGCTTGTCTCCACAAAGACAAAGAGTACACGAGTCTTTGGTGTCCTTCCTGTGCAAATGTGTGTTACTATTTGAGGTTTGCCTTCGCGTTGCTTTCGTTGATGGGGCTACCTCCCCCGTTCTCGTTCGTTTCGGTTTCCTACTCTGACTCTGTCTTACGCACACGTGAGCCACCTAAGTTCACCTACGACTTACGACAATGGCCCAAAAATCCAATGGCAGCATGAAACAATGGGCCAAATACAATTCACCTGCAGGACCTTTCATGAGTCACTCATGGTGCGAGTGACACTCGCCTTCGGCATCGAAAACCACGGGTCTGCACCCAGTCGGTTGGCGAGCTCCACCATGTACTCAACGCAAACGCCACCGAGCCCTCACAGGTCACATCGCACACATCGGCTCCGCAAAACGATGGAAAACACTTTCTGACCGGTAAAATCCACTAACGTGCGACATCATGCGACAAGCTGGTTCGCTGTGCGATCGCTTCTGACTGGCCTGCTTGGGTCTGATCTGTTGGTAAAGTTCTGTTGTCCCAATTGCGTGTCAAAGATCCATCATGATCCCACATGTCCTTTCCAAAGTCAAGAGATATCGAATCCAAAGCTGCTTTTATCTGAGTTCACATCAAGATCGAGCGTCGACCATCTGCCAGCTGGAGAAGCGTAGAACGCTTGTCCCGTTTAGCTTCTGTAAGAAGTGTGGATGAAAGATCTGTGTGACATTGCCAGCGTAGGCAACCTTGAGTGATAAGAACTAGTCGAAACTCAGTCACTCAGTGCCTGCGCTGCACCCTTCCATGTCATATCCCGTCATGCCAAGTGTCTGGAATTAAAGTCAAAGCGTGCAGTGGATCAGCCTCATCAGTTTCAATGATCCGCACTATGATTCCTCAGCAAGTTCCCGTCGTGAAAGACAAAGACAACAAAAGACGTCGAAAAGTGCTGAAAGAGGCTCCACTTTTCGGTCGGACAAGTACTCTTGCAGCGCTGTCCTGATAAAACATGTTTTTTGTTCAGTTACCAACTGACAACACTGCCAAAACATGTTTTTCTACACAAACACATCCTCCATTTGTAGGAGTGATGCATCGCCTTCCCAAGAGACATTGCCTCTGCCCTCCCAAGTGGCAACCTGAGAGCGAAACAATGCTGCACAGCCAAGCTACTTGAAGCCAAGGCATAGATTTCAGAACATGTTTCTTCAGCAGTGTCACGACGAACTGTTCCAGCTCGACAGCTTTCTCAGGATCCTACGTACTCGCCATCTTCAATAAATGCGCCACCCGCACCAATGGTGGCTTTCACTGAGCTCTGTCTGAGACTTCCTAAGAACGAGAACTGACAAAGCACTCGCCACGTCTCGCAATGACAAGATTCGAATGGCGAGACGTGGCGAGACGATGCCAAGGGGCCCCACATGGTAAACTGTGGCAGGCTTTCAGGATATCCATCTCTGCGGAAGCTGATGGTAAAGTTCTGTCGAAGTCGCAAAACACTCAAACACACACTGCAATACATTTGATGACGAAAGGCACATCACATCCAGTTTCAAGTCCGGTAGAAGCAGTTTGGTGTCCTCGGGCCAATTGTAGTGCACCCAGCTCGAATCATCCCCAATGATACCGTTTTCAACGCCATCTTCAAAGGGAGTGCTGTGCTTCATCAAATCGATGAATTCACCTGAGGGTGGGAACTGCATGCTTGTTAGCTACTCGCTTAAACATGGTTGCCTTTTAGTTCAAATGAACCCCCAAGGTACCACAGCAACAAAACAAGGCTGTCTGTCTGAGGAATCAACGGGTTGCCGTGAGCGGAAACTCTTCATCAGTGAGAGGATGCCTTGTTAGCCCTGATAGGAATGTTCCAACACCTTATTGCAATTCCAGGTTTCATGTGAATGAATTTATTTGTGTGACACAAAATTCCATAAACTCAAAAGAATACTAGTACATGATGGATGATGCTGACAACCGAAGCTTCGTACAGAAAAAACACCGTTGAAAAAGCGCAGTTCACACCCATCCGTGCTTTGCTTCCCTATCTTCATGTCTCTACTTCTTAGTTGTCTTTGCTTTGCTCTCTGCTTCGTCTCCAGCTTTTGCAGCACGTCCCCACTTTGAACTACTTTTCTGCACCCCAGTGCAACCCTCATTTGTGGGCAATCCCTTGTTCTTTAAGATGCATATGGCTGACCAAAAAGTCCATGCATTTCACAAAAGCTTTCGCAATTACTTTCACTACGTTCGCAACAGCAAATCCAAATGTCGTTGTCGTGAAGCTTTCTCAAGGCGGGCCAATACATCAAATTCCTTTTTCAAGGGTTTTTATGGTGTTGCTCACTGGTCGCAGCGACCCGAACAGCCTCCAAATGCGATGTCACATCTCTACGTGGATCTTGAAGAAAGTAATATTATTATTTAGTTATAATCAATTGTATATATATATATATATGTAGGAATTGAATTTAGACAGTACATTTATATTGAAAACCATCTATAATCTATACAATTATCAATAAAGCCAAGCAATGTACAGAATAAGTTGATTATTGAAATAAGATTATATAGTAATTTGCAGCTTCCTCAAGATGAAGCCTACGAACCACAGTCAACCCCGGCTAAGCAAAACGTTAAACCAGGAATTGGTGCGAAATAACAACCACTCAACATGCAAAACAAGCATAAATAAGTTGCGTCTACATACCATTAAAGCCAAGATGCGAAGATTGTCATGAATCCTCTTCGGCGCTGCATTGACCAAAGGCGCAACCTGAGGTGGTGGCGTGGAATGTTTCCTCATTGCACTAGAAAACCTTTATCCTTGAAATTTTGGTATGTACCTGAACTTTCCTTTCCACCTTGAAATTTGTTGCTTGAACACACGAGCTTCAGCAGTTTAGGCTCCAATCTGCATTGCGCCGAGCTTCAATGAACCACGAGACCAGGATGGCCATCTCAAACTTAACATGTGTTTGAAGTTTAGAATTGGTTGACAAATTGGCTGTCGGACATTGTACAAATCGCACCACTTTACCTTGGGGAATAGCCAAGATTCTGAGCTTCGCATGTGACACCTTTGGACAGCAACAAAAGCGTCCGGAATGTAACGTGTCAATGTAAACAAAGTACATGAGCCAAGCTAGGAGCTCACGGTTGCATGCAATCAGAACTAGGCAAACGCAAGTGAACGTTCTTGCTTAAATATTAAAGCACCAAACTTGTTAATTTTTGCGAGTGAAAGCGCAGCTCACACTTGGGAGATCGCCATCTTGCAATCTTTGTCAGCCAATGCCGCCCACAAGTGGTCGTATGGTGACAAACAAATATTGTCCCCAGTTGGGTTTCCGGATGCCTTTTATATATTTTTTAATATTTCAATTGGTTTCTGTTTGGTCTTCGAACCCAACCCCGGCGCTCAAGTCTCGTGACACTAGTGCGCTGCAACTCGCTCGAACGTTTGGCAATCCTTTTCAAGGCCACTTGAAAAGAGCTATTGGCTAAGAACTTTAACTTGTTTTCTCGGAACAAACACACATTCTCATCACCTCTGTGCCCATTTCTGTGCCAAATTCGCAAGCTGCTTCTCTCTCCTCTCACTCGACTGCGGATTGATCCTCAAAGCATCATTGGCCTAGCAGTTGCAACCCTGCTTGTGTACTTAAGCCAGTTTGTGTGGCATGTAAGCACGACTCAAAAACAAACGACTGTGCTGTGTCGCCATGCAATGAGTCGGCAACTTATTGGAATGTGTTGCTCGGCTTCGGTTGCAAACAACGTGTAGTCCTGGTTCAAACAATAAGGAAATTTCATTGCAATCAGGGTCTCAGATTGAATCAGGGTCTCAAAGCCGATGGTGTTTCAGTGCATGACTGACACACGAGGATGATGGCCACTGGGGTCTCAAAGTCAATGGTGTTTCAGGCTTTCAGGTAATAAGTGCATGTCTCAAAGCTGATGGTGTTTCAGTTAGTGCATGACTGAGATGCAAGGATGATGGTCGTGAGATGCCAGGATGATGGTGAGCATGCAAAGGTGATTGTGACTGTACCTGAATATCGGAATTGATAGTCAATCACACTTGGGAAGACAAAAAGCACAGATGCACACACACACACACACACACGCACGTGCGCCCGACACTTTTCAGGTTCGATGTTTGGATGACGGATGTTTCGACGACGGCTTACAAGTTGATTGTCATGTTTTGCGCAGCAGGCTTACGGGGCCAAGAAGTTGTCAGCGTACTATTACCTTTTATATAATAAGTCCAATTAAGGCTTAGAAGGCTTAGCTTCACGTTGCGAGTTTCTTTGGTGGCCCCGCTGCACGCCGTCCGAAGCCTCTTTTTGGTTGGGGCCAGTTTTCTTTGTTGCTTTGGGGCATGCCATCTGCGTGTGCCATCGAAGCATTGAGTGGGTTTGACACTCAGAACTCATTTGATTTAAAAGATTATCACCAAGCAGGGTCCATACGGGTCCATTTTACATGGCATGCCCAGGTCTGAAAGCCAGGGTTCTGATGCAGAGAAGGGACCCGTCAGAAAGAAGTTGAAGGCACGCTGCACACCGACCACAAATTCATCCCCATTGTGTTGAAATGCCTTTGCCACGCTTCAGGCCACTTGCAGGATGAAAAACTCAGCTGTGAGGCGAGTGAAGAAACGCCTCTTGAAGCCCCGACAGCGGGCTCAGGACTCTGAGTCTGGATATGTATCTAGTTCTTTTCGTTGCCCTGTTCCCAGTAAGCCTTTGCCCGCTAATGCTGCAGCTTGTGTGACACCGGGTGGTCGGATCGGAGTGATTGCCTACAAACTGCGGCTTCCACATGTTCCAGCTCTTGAATGGAAATGTGTTTGCCACTCAGTTTTTAGATGAAACGTTTTGTTGAAAGTGTGTTTGACAACTGCTGTGGTCAATGGTAAATGATTCCAAGGGTCCAAGGTTGTGGGAGGAAACCGGATTCACCTTGAATTTTCCGAGCTTAGGTCCACCGCACCACCAAGAAGGCCAAGAACAACGGCGTGAAAATCTTCAGGGGAACAAAGATCTTTAGATCTTTTTCTTGCATCAGCGAACCCCTCAGTTGAAACTGTTGAATCAATGAGTTGGGCTCAAACCTGAGACGCGTTCAAAACAACCTAAGGAGTGTTTTCTGGGACAACAACAGCTGCCAAGAAGGATGTTTCAACTCGAGGGATCACGGCTCGGCCCCCAGTCCAAGAACCACCAGCAGTCTGACGCTTACACGAAGTACCTTTGGCCTGAGGATTTCGCAAATCAAGTGAAATATGGAGTGCAGTATCGTCAAGCCTGTGAAATGGCTGGTCTTCCTGTTGGCCGCTTCGTTACACCTGCAGCTGGGGAATTTGTCTCAGGCATATAATAGCATTCGTTGTTTAGACTGTGACGTTGCTGATATAATTTGAAGGCCTATTTGTCCGTCGTTTCAATTGCAGGACTTCCGAAAGGCTGGACACAGACTGAGAAAAACGCTGTGGACCGTGATCTTTTCCAGCAAGAGTACCCATACTTCAAGACAAAGGCCCTGCTTCATTGCCCGCGTTTGTTTTACTATGTTTTCAACTTTTTCAAGCCAAATCACTTACCTTTATTTCTACCCCTGCGTGGCCAGGATGGAAAGCTTCTATGCGTGTCATTGTTTACAGGGGTTGCAGGCCTCGAGTTGGGCCTGAATCAGTGTGGGCCTTGAAAGTCGCTCTTACTGAGACTGCTTCAAGTTTCAAGTTGTCTAGCTTCAATTTTTGTCTGTGAGCTGCCCACACTTTTCTACTATGTTCTGAGCTCGTTGAGATCAAAGCGTTTGTTCCAATGGCGGGCCGTGAATCCCACCTTGGCTATGTGCGGTGTGTGGGGGTGAACCAAATCAGGACAGAGATAGACAGGTTCAAGTTAACAATAACTTCCAAGTCAGTCAGCAATCAACGCAGTTTATTGCGGAGTTCTCTGGATTGGTGTGTTTTTGTCATTGAGAGGACTTTGAAGGGCGTCCCACTATTCACTCGGTGGGGAGGGCGGCAGCGGCTTTGAAGCAACGATGTCGTTGAAAAACTTGCTTTGTGTTCGGCATTGCGCTGCAGAACTGTGTGTGAGCAGGTTTCATGACAGAGAGTTGGGTTTCTAGCTCGTTTCCAAAATTGGATGAAGTTTTTGACCATCTGAGGTGGCTTTGGTGCTGGGCTTCCAACCAATGGGTGGAAGCTAATATCGCTTTGGAGACGGTGCTTGCCTCTGAGTTCTGAGTCTGAAGTAGTTTGGTTTCAATGGTAGTTTTCAAGTCTTTTTCTGCAGCTGTTGAGGCTGCCACGGGACCCAACTGGACTCCTGCGGATGACCACGAGCTGCGCAATTTGATGTCAAAGGCAGTGCAGGAAAACACTTTAGACAGGATCTATGTCGAAACAAAGTGCAAGATTGACCCATGGAACTGACAGAAGGGTTCCACAGAGTGTCCTCAGTCCACATCAGACGCCAACTTTGGAAGGAAAAAATGTCAGAGTCACGTCAGTACTGATGGTTCATGTTTCACGCTCAGAAAACTGCATCCCCGTATCAGGCGCATTCGTAGGCTTGACCTGTTGAAGTTGCATGAGGTGGGTGCACCCGACAACGTTTGCCCAGAACTCACTCTGTCACCTGTTTGAAATCTTTTTGAATCGTTTATATGAATGATTTGTATGGTATGAGGTCGAGTGTGACGAACGTTGTCAAAGGGTGTTGCGAGCTAGGATGTCAGAAGGATTACTACCGGCCGCAAAGATTGTGTCAGATGTCCGTGGCTTTTCTGCGAAAGGCACTGGTGCAGTTGGTATTACAGCAGGTTTCCCGTGTCAGACAGGGGTGTTGTTCCAAATTGATGGTTCTGGTGTGGAAGATCTGGTATCGTTTTTACGCGTCGATCAAACCAATCTCATGTTTTAACACGCGTGGCAGGGAACTAGCGGGGCTGGATCCCAGTTGGGTCTGAGCGATGAACGAAGTGGGCTCATCAAGAATGTTTTTGATGTATTTGACACGCTGGATAGCCCGTGTTGTCCTCAGAACTCCTTCGTTTGTGTGACATTTAGATTTACCAAGAAGCCGTGTGACTGATGGTTGATTGGTGATCTGATCTAAGGCTGTTTATCTTGCTCGAGAATGTCTTGGGTCTCTTGAGTTGCCAGAAGGAATGCCGAAAGCTTATCACCTTTGTGATCCTGGTGTCTGGGTGAGTCTGTCCATTTTCCATTTCCTTCTTGGCACATAATTCTTAGGGCTCTGTTGAAGCCCAGGGATGAGCAAGTTTTGAACCTTTCAAATCCAACTTTAAGGCAATCTTTATTTGGCCAGGAGGCAGCCAAACGAGGGTTGAAGATTTTCTGGGCCAGCGCAAAGCTTTTCAACGTCGGCTTTGCTGTTTGGGTCCCAGGTTTTACAGCGCAAATCTGAGCAGGGGTCGTTTGTGATTGGCTGAGGCCAATCGCGGCCGTGTCTTCCTTCTGTGCGCTCGCCCTGGAGCAAACCTTTGGGAGGACATTCCATGGAATGTTCAAAAACAGTTCTTGGATTCCTTAGGCTTGCCAATTGAGTCTTCAAACCGCCTGGTGAGTTTTTCGAACCGCGCGCGGTCATCGTAGATCTTTTTGTATTTTTTGGCAGGAGCATCGTTGTCTTCCATACACAAGCCATTGCGTGACATCATGGAACGCGAGAGCCAAAGTGCCACTTCACAAGTGGTTGTCTCTTCACCAAGCAGAGGATGACAAGGCCCGTTTGACGGCCCTTGGCAACTGTGTAGTGCCTGCGCAGGCCCGCCTTTGTTTTGAAACGTTGCTTGAGCTCCGCAGGGCTGGGGCCAATTTGTAAACAAAAAGCTGCTTGAACTTGTTTGATCTGTTGGTCTTTGTATGTGTTTCCAAGTAGGGGGACTGAATCGTGATGTCCATGGTTTTGTGAAATCATCCTCCTCTCACTCCATGGCCTAGACCTGTTACCAACCTTCATGGTTGGAGGCGCTTCCAATTCACAAATTAGCAGCTAGCAAGTCTTGCGCATAGGAAAGAAAACGTGACTTAATTATCTAACTTTTCGTGCCTGGCATGTGGGCTTTACACAGTGATGTCTAACAGGCCTGACAGTAAACGCTATCTTTGGTTGAAGATTGACCTGCCTTGCTCAAGCCCCATCTTTCAGAATGGGTAAGTCGAGGGCCAAAAAAAGCTGCGACTGCAACTGCAGCGACCGGTTCTTCATCAGCTCAATCTACAGGCCCTTGGGAATTCTGTCCGGCGCAAAGGCTATTGTTTTCTTAATTTTCTTGTGGCAGGATGTGGTGCGGAGGTTAACCAGGACTTTCACGTTCTGCCTGGCTCAGCCCTGGAGGCCATTCGTGTGAGTTAGCTTGCTAATTTGGAACAGGTAGTTTTTTAAATATAGGACAGCTAGGAAACCCAGCTCCGGCCGCTAGGTGGTGACACGCAAAGCCAAGACCGAGGAGGACATGATCATTTGCGGGTTTCATCAACTGGAACAAGGCGAGAACGAAACAGCTGTCTTTTATAGACTATAAATTAAGTAGCACAACCCGCAACAAGTTATAACCCCACAAGAATTCGTATTTATGTCATGATTGTGCGCAAAACCTGTTTCTATGTGTGCCGGGTAGGTCTGATTGACCTACCAAATTCTCCGGCTAACAGATGCCTCTTCTTGAAGGGAGACGAGGGCCAGGATTCAAATTTCCAGGTTGCGTTCCTGGATTCAAAGTTTGTGTGGTGGGTCTATATTTTATTGGCCTTGGATTGAGATGGCGGGTTGATTGTTGAAATTGATGGCGGAGTCTTTGTTTTGTTTGCTTCTGACTTTTCCTCCGCCATCCCTGTCCTAAGGATGCTCATTCGGAATGTTTCTTCTTGGCCAGAAGTGACAAAGGCCGAGATCTTCCCTCAAGAAACGAATCCGGTCGTGTGGTCCTGCCGGGCTTTTTACACAGCCGGTTCCATCATCATTGTCATCCCAGATGAGGACATGGGTCCTGGTAGCCCACCCGTGCCTGACGCAGAGTTGACAAACCTTTTTGGTGTGGCAGTGATCAAGTTGAGCCTTGTGAAGTATGTGTGCCTGATCCGTGGTGCCAAAGCAATGGCAACTCACAGCTTCTTAACTTAACTGCCAAGTTCACTGTTGACTATTGACTACTTTTCTTTGTTGTTGTCTAAAGCATGTTGTGAATACGTTGATGCGAGGCTTTGACGGTGGTGATCAGAATGCCGGGGACGTTGCCACACTTTTGACTCAGCTTGAGTGATTATTGGACTAGGCAGAATGATGGCTGACTCGCCGTAGGCCTTTTTGGGGTCCTATATGGTCCTATGACCGATAATACACCGCTTATAGGAAAAGGCAGCCCTCGATACTGTTCAGTCACAGTTTTTTCTGTATCTGTATTTCAAGCGTTGGTGATGTGCACTGGCATCTGGTTTGAATGTGAACAAGTAAGATTTAATGGTTCAAAAAAATTTAATATGTTCAGCATAGTTCAGCCACGGAATAAGACAACTGGTTTGTAAGCTAGAGTAGTATACAATGCATACTTACCACCAAATATGAAACATCAGGCAAAAACTCCAACACAAATTCAATCTACTATGTCGTTTTCTTACAATTATTACTATGCCGCGCGGGGGTCAGCCAAGACATGCCAGTGGAAGCTCGCGTGGTTGCTTTGAGTGGTTCAGAATCTTCAGGTTCTGATGCTGCTGCTGCCGCGGCAGTTGTTTCAAAGAAACGGAAACGGGGCAAGGAATCTCAGGATAAATCCAGTGAGCCTTATTTGAAGGCTTTGCTTGGAAGAGGTTGCAAATGCCGGAAGGCATGCATGGCCCAGTTTGACACGCCTGAAACCCTTGCCAGCCTTCTAGAATACCGGAAGCATTGGTTTGCCCTTGAGAAAGTGGACCAAGACAATCATGTTCCCTGGCCCTCACTTTTGGCATGTTTCGACATTCAATATGCCAACATTCAGCCATGAAGTGTACTGTTACTGTTATAGCTGGCTGTCCCTCAGGCTTTGGACAGGATGAAAGCTCTTGCTCGAGATGCTCCGGATGGGGGGGTGATTAGCTGGAACCTTTTGGGTTTGTCCACGTGCCGCAGAGCTTGGAAAGCCTTGCACAACATGGGCGACTGGTTGAACAGATTCACTTGATAAAAAGGTGGTTCATGTTTTGTTTAAATTCTTTGAGTCAGTGGACAAGGTCAACGCTAACTTGAAATTCTTGGGCGGTTGAGGTGATGACCGTTGCCAAAAGCTTCTGGATGCAGCGCAGAACGGTGCCATCTCAGCGCCAGCGGATCTCAGATATTTGTCGAAGCCAAGTTCTGATGACCTAGGTGGCAAGAACAAAACTTGCCGGGCTGACGTCATCTCCTTTTTGACCACTATATATGAGTCGGTGGCAGAAGTTATGCCTGACTCTCGTGACACAGCGTTTGACGATGTTGACAAACTGGCTGACTCCTATTCTATCCAGTTGAACTTGGAAGCTTCCGCAGCTATTAGCGAGGAAACGATTGAGACACCTGCAGGTAGCAAAATGCCTCGAAAGAAAAAGAGACAAGTTGTGATCAATCCGAACAGGCCCGAGAGGGAAGTCCGGAAACTGCCACCCGGCTACATGAAGGAGTACTATGAGCAATATCGTTTGGTGACCAGTTCTGATGAATGTGCAAGCTTTCCGAGCTTCTGGAGAGTTACTTGCCTTTCTCATTGTTTATAATTAATACGCCCACTCTAAAAAAGCGTTGGTTGTTCCATTATATCATTAAGCTCCTATTTTTGGGAACCTGAGGTTTGGCTCAGTGAGTTTCCGGAGCTGCAGTTTCGAGAGCGCTCGAATCATGCTCAATGCATGACGTGCATTAGACATCGGTCCATGATCAAGAGCTTGAGTTCTCATATGCGGGCGCGGCGAGAGCAAATCAGACTCTTCACAGAACATTTGGCCGCGCAGTATGCTGACAGAGCTTTGTATTGGCAGATGCGCGGATTGAGCCGTCACAAAGGAGCGGTTGTAACGCTCATTTGCGATGGAATGGACCAAGCGAAATGGGAGGTGCCAAGAAGTCCCATTTTGGTTGGCAAGGACTTTGGCAATATGCAAAAGCCTCGCCTTCACGTAAGTCTGTGCATCGCTCATGGATGGTTCTATCTTTTTCTGGTCTCTTCACCAGACATTCGCAAGGATGGAAATGCGTCGGTAGAACTTTTGGCTTGCGCGTTTACGATCTTACAGAAGAAAGGGCTGAACCTGGCTATGACGGACGTTTATCTACAGCATGATAACACCTGCCGAGAGTTCAAGAACAACAATGGTTTGCGCTTTGTATGCAGCCAGGCTGGACCAATGCTGCTCTTCACATGTGCTTAGTCTTCACATGCATTGTAAAGCTTTTGTGTGGAGTGGAGAAGACTAAGTTTTGAGCCGTCCAAGTCTTGAGCCCTTCGGGGCCCTTCAGGTTTCCTGCAAGAACATTCGGAGTGTGACCTGTTCGTATTTACGGACAGGGCACACTCACGAAGACATTGACCAGACTTTCGGGAACCTCTCCCGCTATCTCAATCGTGTTCGCTGCCTCCAAACGCCTGACGACGCAGTCCAGACCATCAAAGCCTTTTGTGCCAAGACCAAGTTTCCCTTCGAATCCGAGCAATACGTGTTTGCTATGGAGGCTACCAGGGATTGGACCCTCAGCTTCTAAGAGGCATGGTCAGTCAAAGCTTTTATCGCCCAATTGTCTGTGGCCTTGAGGACAGGCTTTTTGGCGGAGGCCGTGCCGTTTAATTTGAAAGGGATTGGTGGCGGTGGAGCGCCACATGTCTTTAAGATGGATCGCCGTGCTGACGCAGGCACACCATGCTAGCGTTCAAGTCTTTTGGGTAGAGGTGACGCTGACAGCTGAAGTTTTGGCGTTGGACGCAACATTAAGGGTTTTACGTGACGGAAGCATACCAGGCCTGAAGAGTGAGGAGATCGAGAACACCATGTGGGGCTATCCGGAGAGCCCAGATGACGTTTTGTTGAGGACTGGTTGTGGTTTGCTGTGTTTTTCTTGGGACTTCGAACAATCTTGGGACTTCAAACAATCGTTTCACCTCATAACAAAGGACGAAGCGCTTCATGGCGGACAAAGCCTTCACTTGCGCGGTCTTGTTGTATCCGCGAGCGTTGGCCTTTGACCGGCTACCGGTTGGTTTGCCCGCAGGTGGGCGCGTGGTGGGATCAAAGCGCTATTTCTATGCAGTCGGTGAAGTTATTAGAATTCTACAGTCCTATGAATAACGTTGATATATAGATTTATGGGATCTGTACTGGTTACCTCAGGTTTCAATATAATAACCCTTGGTTTCCTTTTTTGCTTTGCATGGTACCCCATAGCTATATACCGAACTGTTTCCATCTACTGGCAAAAACACGAATTTCTTTCAAGGTTGTTTCAAGTCAAGGGGACGTTGCTGTTAACAGTGGCTTCATACTCGCAGTTTCTAATTTGGCTACGCGTTTGAAAACACAACGTTGTTGCAAGTGATCCCTGACCAGCTTTGGCGAGCAAGCGGGAGCTGGGAGAGGAGTACAAGAAACACATTCTTAAGTACGTCCCAGCCTTGCGTACGCCGCTTTTCGGATTGTCCGTGGCAGCTGATTGGTTGGAACGGTGGCTTGCGGACACATTGCCACCGCCCGATCTTTTGGATGTACATGCGCAACTCAGTGAGTATTCATTGTGGAATTTCATTTATATGTTGTGAGAATTGAACAACATGCTTTTCAAATTGGGGAATGGTTTGTGTCCTCTTGTAGTCGGTACTTATGACAGTTTTGAAATCTTTTGGGGTGGAACATTTTGGTTGGGCAGTGCCTCGCCACTAGGTGCATGATCACCACAGGAAGAACTCAAGTATCTTCGGTTGCCCGAGAACCAGTTCCGGACGCTTTTGTGGTTCCGCCAAATCCTTTGACGCTGAGGCTGTTTGACAGTTTCACTTGGCCAAGGAGTCAAACTTTGGTCGGGATGTCTTTCTTTGATAGTTTTTGTCTTCGAATACTTGGATAAGTTGGGTTTGCCAAATAATCCAATGGAGTTTGAGCCTCGGAGGCCCATTACAGCGGATGAACGGAAGACGGTGCAGGAATATGTGGCTAAATCTAGAAAGCGGATCGTGCACGAAACTGCAGCAAAAGCCTGGTCTTTAGGCGTCCCATGGGGGGGAGGCTCTTGAAGCCGCCACCAAAGCTGTAAACGCAGCAAAGTCTGCTTCAAAGCCTTTAATCCGAAAGGGCAAAGGCAAGGGAAGGGGCAAACGTAAGGGTTAAGAAAGCGTGCTTTTGTACTCCTGGGTGTGGAATTAATCGATATCATCTTTGTTCTCGTTTACACAAGGTTCTGATGGTGAAACACTTACTGTGGTTTCATTGGTTCCTGAGCATAATACTCTGTCTGCTTCTGAAACCCTACAGTTTGTCGGGGTCCTAGACCCTTTTCGTTTGCCCCAGGTGAAAATTTAGGTGCGGCATGGTAGTTTAGAGGGGGTCCTTCAGAGAATGAATCGGACACTAATCACTTCTTTGTTGGAGCTGTGAAAAAGTGACTGATTGCAGGTCACTTTCAACACTAAAGCCTTGTTGTAACTGGTCATGGATGCGCTATTATTTTTTCTCACGGTTGAGGACCACTTGAAAGTTAGGAAAAAGTGTCGGATCACACCTGTGATTCAACACTTTCTGCCCTGTCAAATCCCTTAGGGATAAGTGTCTGAAAAGTGTCCGAATATCACTGATGAATAAGTGCCGGATATCACTAGTGAATAAGTGTCGGATTTCACTGGTGAATAAGTGTCGGATTTCACTGGTGAATAAGTGTCGAATCGCATCTGTGATCCGACACTTTTTGGAGGGCGCTTTTTGGTCCAATGTGGCCAATTATGTGAGTTGCTTGGCCAGGAGTGTCAAATCGCACCTCCTATCCGACACGTTTGCTTTGATAAAATCCGACACTTTTGTCTTCAGAAAAATCCGACACTTTTGTTTTGAGAAATCCAACACTTTTGTTGTGAGAACATCCGACATTTTTGGTTTGATAGAATTCAACACGTTTCATGAAAACAATCCGAGTCTTTTCATTGGAGAATAATACTCGCCAATGTTTGTTTGAGAGAACCCAGCACTTTCCACTTGAGAGATTCTGACAAGTTTACATGTGTTTATATGGACAGGCGTGCAGTTTTTTCAGAGCAAAGCAACTGACAGTTTGAGCTGTGCTTGTCAATTCTGGCACCTGAGACGGGTGGCTCCAAGCCGGCAGCAGGGGAGATGCCCGCAAAGCGGAGGTCAAAGGGGGGCGATGGCGCCGCCGCCAAGGTGGCAAAGGTTACTAAGGTGGATGCTGACACACACCCACATGTTGTGAAGCTCACGGATTGGTTTTTTTGGCTTACACGTTCGGTACTGTTTGTTTTCTGCGGTGTTTGTTGGCTTTTGCAAGAGAATGGCGAATGGTGAGGAAAGGAATCAGAACTTGAACCCTAAGGCTTATCAACAAGGTCTTTGTTGCTGGAGGGCCTGACACATATCTGACTTCTCAGTACGACACCAAGGACTATGAACACAGGGATGATCATAAGATATAATCATCGAAGTGCTTGCTTTAGATTTTATCAGGCGCCCTGAGTTTGAAAGATCCACCAGTCAGTCAGGACAAAATGATGGACTTTGCAAAATGGATTGACAGTTTTTGCCCGCCTGATGCGATGTGAAAAGCTCAGCAGTTTCGCATCTCAATATTGTCATCACTTCATAAGAAGCGGCTTGTCAGTATTTGAAGGGTTCGGACCAACAAACTCATAAGGACTGCCTATGCGACGGACTACAAGGGTGCAACGTATCTGAGACCCTACATGCTTGCATGGCGTGCGGATGCAGGATGTAGCGGATTCATAGAACCCGACATCGCTGTTCTTATGGCCGAATTGATGCTAACAGAGGGGCTTCTAGGATTTACAACATTGCCACGAAAGTTTTTTCACAAACCATTCGGGAGCTTGGATTGTTTCATAATAACAAACAGGCTGTCCTTTAGCGCCGTGAATTAAGAACATCTGAGGTTTTTGAGCAATCCGGATTTGCCAGGGGTGGAAAAGTTGTCGACCACCAAGATACCGCCCGAGTTCTTGGATTCCGATTACATTGAGCTTGGATCGTTGGACGGTAACTTGACAGATTATGTTTGGTGAACACCTTCCCAAATGTTGAAACTACAACTTTTATATATAGCATGACACCAGCAGGCTTCTCAAAAGAGAGTTGGGGCTTTAGTGCACTTCTATCATCAAATATAGATTTTTTTTACAAGGACCTTAGGCGGATCAAACATGTTAAACTAGCTTTGAGGTTCTTGCTCAGAAGCAACAACACCATTTTGAAAGTAACCATACCTGTCAAACATACCTCGCACAACCAAGGTCATATGGTGCCGCCTTTTTCTGTCGGTTACATCAAAGGATGGAAGAGAAGTTTAGTTCTCTTGCTTTGCTTGCAGGGCATTCGTGAACTGTCGCTGGAGAGCGACATCGCTCACAGCATCAAGGCGTTTCGTCACGCTCACGTTTTATTGACATGTTCTTACAAATCTAACCTTTGTAACATCGTGACAAGGAGGTTGCTGTTATTTTTCAAGAGAACAGCCAAAACGTAACCTGTTGGAAAAAGTTTTAGAATGAATTCACTCGTGGTTTTGAGTAACCGACGCACCATTTTGAAAGGGGAATGAGTCAATGGCAGGCTTCCTTTGGAACAGTCCACGCGACTTTCGGAGCGTACAAAGACGTCAGGGCTCAAGTAAACGCCAACAGAGGTGGGAGGGGGTTTTGTTCTGTGACGTTGCCAGTCTTAAGCATTTCTGATTCGGTGGGGGGAGTTTTGTTCTGT